AGAGAATAGAGAGAAAAGAAGTGAGAGAGAAGCAAACCATGCATGTGGAAACAACAGGGAAGGAAGAGGACACGGTCATGGCAGAGAATTTGGAGCATAAGAGAAAGGGATTGATTGTAATCAAGAGGAGAAAACTTCGGACCAGGGCAAGTGAGCATGTGTTCAAGGACTTTCATGATTCTCAGCCCAAAGCATGAGATGCCAGTTGTGCCCCTCCTGGCATGACAATCAAAATGTCTACAGACATTGCTACATGCTCCTGGGGTGTGGAGTGTGTATGTGTGTGCATGCACATGCTTGTGTGCTTAAATTTTTACACCTATGAAAAGCCACTGTATAAGAGCTGATAAATCCAACATTTGTCTTTGAATGTTAAGTACATGCAATGCTTATGCATGTATGCTTATGATACTTCTGTTCTGAATTATAACAGTAAATAATGCATAAATTAAATAGGTGCCATCATTAATGGTTAAAAAAGAAGACTTCCTATACTCTCTTTTGACTCTTCAGTGTATGATATGATAGTTGATGTTGTCTTGTTCTCATTGCTTAGCGTTTCCTACCTTTATCTATCAACATTGGAGTGGCTTGTCTTACCTATCAGTATCTGTTCTTGGGCCAGTGTAATTAAAAAACACAAAAACAAAAACATCCTGCTTTCTCTAATCCATTCCCATGCTGCTATGAAATTATCTTTTAAGTACCAATTCGTTCTCATTATTTCCCCATTAAAGCTACAGTTACTGTAAATATATTAAATTTTAATTTGTTGAAATCTTTAATTATTTCCTGTTACCTGTAAAATGAAGTTTCAAATACATTTTTCTTACAGTGGATTTATGTCCTGAATAACTAATTGTAAGTTGAAAACATCGTAAGTAAAAGATGCATTTAAGACCTCTAACCTGCGAAGTCCATAGCTTCACCTAGTTTGTCTGAAGCAAACTCAGCACACTCACAGGAGTCTGTGGTTGGTCATGCCTGTCTCACACAACATCTGTTTGGCACAGGGCCCTGAGCTGGCTGGCTGGGAGCACTGCTGTTGCCCATGCAAGGTGGTTGAGAGTGGCTAGAACAGACCATTATCCCGGAAAAGGTCACAATTAAAAATCCAAAGTATAGTTTTTACTGAGTGCATAGCACTTTTCTTCCCTCATGAAGGTGGAAATTCACAAATTGAACTGTCATTAATTTGTGGATGGTCTATTCCAGGTTTCGTGAAATGGTCTCATTTGCTGTGTATAAATTTGTCTCTTTAACTTTATTCACCTGTCTTCCTGTTCAGATCTTTAGTATTCTTCACTTCACATGGTCCTTTGAAAGGACTTTTTTCTGTTTAGGGCACTGCTAAACTCCTACTCAGATAATTTACCTAATCTTTCAAATTTCAGCAGAGACTAACTTCCTCAGGAAAGTATTCTTTAATGCTTTTGCTTAAACTGGGTGGTTTGTGTTCACTTCCATCTTTCCTAGCATAATAACATTTATAATTATTGATGCATCCCTTCTAAATCAGTAATGACACAGTCATTTCTCTCTTACCTCTATAACCCATTACCAAGCAGTTTCTAGCCTATCACACCTGATGAAAAACAAAAAATTTTTTACCAGTCATGGTGGTGCACACCTGTAATTCCAGCACTCTAGAGGCTGAGGCAGGAAGATCTTCCTAGCATAATAACATTTATAATTATTGATGCATCCCTTCTAAATCAGTAATGACACAGTCATTTCTCTCTTACCTCTATAACCCATTACCAAGCAGTTTCTAGCCTATCACACCTGATGAAAAACAAAAAATTTTTTACCAGTCATGGTGGTGCACACCTGTAATTCCAGCACTCTAGAGGCTGAGGCAGGAAGATCACCATGAGTTATCCCGGAAAAGGTCACAATTAAAAATCCAAAGTATAGTTTTTACTGAGTGCATAGCACTTTTCTTCCCTCATGAAGGTGGAAATTCACAAATTGAACTGTCATTAATTTGTGGATGGTCTATTCCAGGTTTCGTGAAATGGTCTCATTTGCTGTGTATAAATTTGTCTCTTTAACTTTATTCACCTGTCTTCCTGTTCAGATCTTTAGTATTCTTCACTTCACATGGTCCTTTGAAAGGACTTTTTTCTGTTTAGGGCACTGCTAAACTCCTACTCAGATAATTTACCTAATCTTTCAAATTTCAGCAGAGACTAACTTCCTCAGGAAAGTATTCTTTAATGCTTTTGCTTAAACTGGGTGGTTTGTGTTCACTTCCATCTTTCCTAGCATAATAACATTTATAATTATTGATGCATCCCTTCTAAATCAGTAATGACACAGTCATTTCTCTCTTAACTCTATAACCCATTACCAAGCAGTTTCTAGCCTATCACACCTGATGAAAAACAAAAAAAAATTTACCAGTCATGGTGGTGCACACCTGTAATTCCAGCACTCTAGAGGCTGAGGCAGGAAGATCACCATGAGTTCAAGGCCATCCAGGGAAAAATATACTGAGTTCAAAGCCAGCCTGAAATGCATAGTGAGAACCTATGCATAGTGAATTTAAATTATTAAATTATTATCTATATTTTCGGTGTATTTGTATTATTTCCTGTTTCCAGATCTATCATGGGAGATTTGAACAACAGTGTTGTACATAATGTCATATAGCTTTTAAGTTGAAATTCACTCAATATATGGAAAACAATATTTCATGAATGATAAATGAATTCCAAATATGCATAATGTGTGGATAGATACTTTGTGTCTGGGAATGGTTATATTAAAAGGATAAAAGGAGAAAAATTGGATAACTTTGCCAAGTATGGTATTGGCTGCTATAGCAATCCTATTATGAGAAAATAATATTTTAAATCTTCTCCTAATCATTTAACTACAAGAATGTCCTTAATACTATCAAAAAGCTCTCCTTATCTTCCGAATATGTTCTCATTCTTTCTGAATCTGTAAGAGCAGTAAAGCTTTGCTATCACCATAATTAGATCTCCTGAAAAAACGTACTTACTTATTTTTGCCAATTTGTGATTATTCATGGTGATGGCAGAAAGCCTTAGCATGGATTACTAAAACCTGAGAGTATTTTTAGCACATGGAAATAAACAGTGTTGTACATAATGTCATATAGCTTTTAAGTTGAAATTCACTCAATATATGGAAAACAATATTTCATGAATGATAAATGAATTCCAAATATGCATAATGTGTGGATAGATACTTTGTGTCTGGGAAAAAATAAAGTTTAAAGTGAGAATGGTTATATTAAAAGGATAAAAGGAGAAAAATTGGATAACTTTGCCAAGTATGGTATTGGCTGCTATAGCAATCCTATTATGAGAAAATAATATTTTAAATCTTCTCCTAATCATTTAACTACAAGAATGTCCTTAATACTATCAAAAAGCTCTCCTTATCTTCCGAATACGTTCTCATTCTTTCTGAATCTGTAAGAGCAGTAAAGCTTTACTATCACCATAATTAGATCTCCTGAAAAAACGTACTTACTTATTTTTGCCAATTTGTGAATATTCATGGTGATGGCAGAAAGCCTTAGCATGGATTACTAAAACCTGAGAGTATTTTTAGCACATGGAAATTAGCCCCGGTTCATTATGTGTACCAGAAATTTCTATTGGAATATGAGTTTGGATTTGAGCTTCAGCAAATGTGCAGATACTGGAATAAATACTCTTTAGTGTGCATAGTGAATTTTGAAGATAAAAGAAATACAGTTGATTAGCTTTATGCAAAATAAGCCCTGAAAACTACTTACAACATTATTTTGGTGGCCTGTATTTAGCCCAGGATGAGCAATAAAAATAGTGAAGTTTTGGCTTTTTTATCCATTGAGAAGAAAAGCATGTCAGTAGAAGCCACAGATGAAAAGAGGCACTTCATGAGCCTTCACTTACCTGACCTCACCTGAGGAAAGTTAACACAAATATCAGCAAATGTGCTCTCCGTTTGACTCTAAATAGGTCCTTAGCACTCTGCGCGACATTGTATTTACTCATTGCTGCATTCCGTGACCTTTTCTGAACATGTGTTGTGGTCACACAGTGGGACAATTGCTATGAACGTGAAACAGAACAAGATGTAATTTCTACTCTTGACAACCATCACAGTGTGTGTAGTTTATAAGTATCACTGACATCGCAATAGATAGATATTGTATTAGTCAGAATTTCAGACAAATATTTTAAAATGAGTAGAATATAAAACAAATGCCTAAAATCTGACTCCTGCTATGGATGATATGCCCGACTGTGTATTTATTTGTTTACTTATTTATTCATTTCTTTTTTCATCTTTTCTGTTTCAGTACTGGGCATTGAACTCAGGGCCTTCACACTGAGCTATATCCCCAGCTCCTCCTGTTTGCTTTTTTTCCTTTCTCATTTTGAGATAAGGTCTCTTAAGTTCCTAGACTGCCCAGGCGTGGCTTGAACCTGCAACCCCTCTGCTGCAGCCTCCAAGAGTTCTGGGATAACAGGCAGGTGCCAGCAAGCCTGGTTATACTGGCTCATTTATGTATTCTACCCATCTCACACGACTTGGGGAGCTTTCAGCATCTAATATTTATCAATTTAATATCAAAACTTTTAGCAACTATTATGTATCATACCTTTCTAGGTCATATAAGATATTTTACATTTTTAAATATAGTTGCAATATTAATAAAGCAAAAATTGTACCAAAGCACTGCTTCAATCTTACATATATATTTGCCTTTATATATTATTTATTATAAGCTGTCACATAAATATCATTACATATGTACATTCAATAGGTGATTAATTTGAATACTTTAAATAATTTTTTGATTATCTGAGTGGTCTGGTTCTTATGATCCAGAAGCTTATGAAAAAAAATCTTGAAATGATGCAAAGATTGTCATAGCTGTCATCCGTGTGTACTCGTCAAAATAATACCTGATTCTCAAGAGAAACACTGCCTCCGTGCCTGGGAAAAGCTCAGTCTCTCATTTCTTTTGACAGTGTGCAGACCGGGGTTCTTCAAAGCCTCACCTCACAGCCAGACCTGCAGCAAATGCCCACCTCACAGTTACACCCATGAGGAAGCTTCCACCTTTTGTGTCTGTGAAAAGGATTATTTCAGGAGGGAATCTGATCCGCCCACAATGGCATGCACAAGTAAGGAGCCCCACGGATTCTGGGTGATGCTAACTTTCACCAGTTTGAAGAACCCGCATGACAGAGCCTGTTAGCGTCCCTTGATATCCCCCCAAACAGGCACAGTGTTAATCTTCTCGGTACAGTCTTCATCACATTTCAGTCTTGTGTAAGCATTGGAAAATTTGAATCTTTGTTATCATTCATGACCTGAAGCATTTGCTTTCCTTAGCTGTAAATCTGAAACACAGATTTGCAATTTTTCCTTTTATTTTGTGCTTTACTTTAGTGTTCTTGATAGCCAAATAGGACTTTGGAATATCTACTCTCCTTTTCACATCAAGCTTGTTTTTTCTTCCTTCTAACCTGGTTTTTGATCACATGTTTATGAGTAAAGAGCACTTTCATCTTGTTGTAACCTGCTGCACTAACCTGCAAGGTCATTGAGAAGGTCATTCAGAGAGAATATAGGAAACATGCCAAGTGCATGGAGCACTAAGTGTGGCAAACCACATTTTAGTTGTATGTAAAATCCAGTGTTTAGCCATTGCTCCACTGCAGGGATCATGTTGCTCCTTTACGAATATCCTTAACTGTATCATAGTTAATGGTCACATAATCAGCACAGATCCATAGTAAAGGTAAATATGTATAGTAGATGAATGGATATTTACCAGTACTTTTGATGCTTTTGTTTTCTGTAGTTTTTCATTTGTTTCTGGGACCGTAACATATTTACATATTTGTTTGTTTTTTGACAATACTTTCGGAGTTTAGCCATAAGCAAAATCTGTAGCCAGTGGAACAAAACAGAAAATAAAGAGGAAAAATGTGAATCTACCCTTTTTCAAAGCTTTCACCTTCTATAACTTTCCTTCTTCAACTTTAGACCCTAGTAAGGAGTATTTGCTCTTAAAGATATTCACAAACATTCTGGGAAGTTGACTACTTATGTCTAACCCTATATAGACATTCTAAACTCCATGTTATCAAATATTCACAAATTGAAATTTTATCTGAATTTTGTAGTGTCTGAACTTTATAGTCAGTGCAACATTTTCAGGATTCCTCACATCCATCATTAATATTAGCTTCACATTACTGAAAATCATTCTGTTGATCCCAAGTCAGATTTTTTTATAGGTTCCATGATTATTAGTGACAGACAGTTCCTCGGCAAATGAGTAAATGTTACTATAATAAGCACTTTTGGAAAGATGCATTTGATTTTAAGTGATGGATTCTGGTTGCAGTGCAGTTTTAAATAGTTGTTTAGGTCAGTGAGATCAAAAGAGGCTCCAAGTAATAGGAAAAACGCTAGCCAGACAATGCGCTGGTGTGTTAAGGTATGACAATCCTGTATCAAATCATCCTTTACATTTCATTAATTTCGAGTTAATATTTTTTTAGAAGTGGCCCAGCCATGGTCTTTCACTCTTTTGGCCTAAGTATGAGCCTCCCTTTTTGTATATTTGCTGTTTGGGACAGGAGAGGGGCAGTGCTTTGGTGGCAAGTATCTAGCTTTGCATTCTCTTAGGATCAAAGCCCACAGGCAGGCTTCATAGGCCTCGGTCAGGATGTATGTGAATCTCTAATACTGTGTCTCAGAAGAATACCAATTCATATGCATTTCTCAAAATAGGCTATTGTGAGTGTGACAGTGTGTGTGTGTCTGTGCATCTGCTTTTTCTTGCAGCACAAATACTGCATATGATTCCGTTGTGGCTCACTTGATCTTTGATTGAAGGTCATGAACTTTTGCCTTTGGCTTTTCAGAAATGAACTCACAGGTTCAAATTCTTTTAATATCTTTTTATGAAATACACATCAAATATGAAAAACAAAATTTTGTAAGTCCACAGAAAATCGTCACGCAAAAGAAAAACTAAGTTTAACGGAGCTCATTAAATCAAGAGTACCTCACATGGTCCACTTTGTTCACGTGTTCATTCTTCCAGGCTTTTACTTGTTAACTCTACGCTAGAGCTTCCCCTGAGTTTGAGTTTCTTTTTAATTTTGGCGGTATGTGCCCCCAGTGAAATGCTGAGGAGCTACTAACAGAATGAGAACAAAAGAAAAAGTCAGACTTGGGCCTTTTTATAGATTTAAGTGAAAGTTGATAAAATGCGAGTATATTTCAATGGGGAGCAAAAAAAAGGCAGAAATTTGACTTTTTTCTAAACTAGGTGGCTTTTGGCTATGTTTTACCTTTTCCTGAGAAGTTGACTTCAAATTAAAATTTCTCCATAATGTGTTACATAGTTAAGTAAGCTAAATGTTTTTAGGTAGCAATGCTTACCTTTCCAACTTAAGCAATCATTGTGACTGAAAATGACTTTTACATTGAAGCATGTGAGGATGAACACATTTGCACAAATTCAGAGGATTCAACCAAAAGGGGGATTGTTTTGGAAAAAGAAAAAAAAGTCAGCTCTTTGTTATAGCTTCCTTCATTCCAATGCCATACTTTTACAGATAAATCCCTAACTGCTAGGTAAATTTCTCATTACTTTTATATTGATTTCTTAACAGTTATGGCTTCATAAATATTAGGCAGAAATTAAATTAATTAGTTTTTGTTTTTAAAGCAAATAGCACATGTTAGGATAGCTGATGTATATCACCTTCAGTAGTTTTATTCGTGCTTGTAACCATTAAAATATCATAATTCCATTTTACTCCTTGTAGAGAAAGAAATTAGGACTATGAAGCAAACATAAATGTATTTTCTATTTCGGAACATCTGATAGTATGACATTTATAGCTGACTGAGGTTTTCACTTTAAATATCTCATAATCAACTTTTGAGGTTCACATTATGTGAACAATTTTAGTTCTCTTTGTATGCTAATTATTAAGTTCAGAAACTGTTAAAATAATATTCAAATGGGATATTATTACTTTACTTGAGAAATCTTTTAAGCAATTTAAACTGCAGATTTCATAATTAAAATTTAATGGAAATGTTCCTTCTTATTAAAATATGATTCTGAATATAAATGTTTTAAAAATTACATTCAGTTTATATTAACATATGGGCAGAAATAAAGTGTCTAATAAATACTGGATGAAGTTAGGAAAGGAACTATATATAATGATTCTATGAAAATAGTTTAGCTAAGTGCATTGCTTTCCTTATTGTGGTGGCTTACTGGAGACTATAATTTGACCTACAATCATTTAAAATATATTGGCTTTTCATTCTTCATACTGAAGTGTCTTGAGAATTAGTTCTGAAATGGACTTCAGACTTTCAGTGAAGTAAAATTCAAACTTTCAGAACCATGATATGAGAAGAATAGTGAATCAATGCAGATTGTGATGTTAACCAATTCCTTAATTGTTAGTGCTTTCTGTGCTCAGAGAGAGGGTTTCATGGTCTGTCGGTATTTACACAGTAATTTTACATTCTGTTGTGAGGCAAGCTACAGCTTTTTCTCTTTTAACTTGGTTCAGAACTTGTCTTCAAGAGCCACACCAAAAACTACTATTTTTACCAGTGCTTCTGACCTAGCATACTTGCCGTTCACTTCTCAGGACCAGTGAAGAAATAATCAGTCAGTCCCCAAGAAGAGACATTTACCACTTTTTAAAAATAAGCTTTTATCTAACATTATTTGTGCCTACATACATGGTTTTACTTTGTAATGATTTACATATATACTAAGCAAAACATCTTTTACTAAACTAATATTATGACCGTTCCCAAGTAAATATGGTGGACCATAGCCACTGCTGTTGTCCCTACAAAACTCTAACAAGCTTTTCCAGAGATAGTCACAGATTGCAACTTTAGGAAACTAATTGCAAAGATAGTTTTCCTACAGACAAGGAATTAGTGTGGTAAATGATGCCTAATTAATATTATCTTAAAATATGTTTTTCTCACTTTACTTTGTAAACCAGGACCCCCCTCAGCTCCTCGGAATGCCATCTCAAATGTTAATGAAACTAGTGTCTTTCTGGAATGGATTCCGCCTGCTGACACTGGTGGAAGGAAAGATGTGTCCTATTATATTGCATGCAAGAAGTGCAGCTCCCACGCGGGTGTGTGTGAGGAGTGTGGCGGTCATGTCAGGTACCTCCCCCAGCAAACCGGCCTGAAAAACACCTCTGTCATGATGGTGGATCTGCTCGCTCACACAAACTATACCTTTGAGATTGAGGCAGTGAATGGAGTGTCCGACTTGAGCCCAGGAGCCCGGCAGTATGTGTCTGTAAATGTAACTACAAACCAAGCAGGTAAGTGCCACGCCCAGCCAAATTCTAATATTTTAGGCCTGCCTCTGTCAGTTATCTCCAGAGCTCAGGCAGAGTTGACTGAGTTCTACGAAAGAACATCTTCAACCAAATGAGCAGGACTTAAAGTGTAACGCCCCTCAGAATGCTTTCTTACCTCTATACAAATAAAAACTAAGACTTAGTTGACATGTCCACAGGACAGGAAAAATACATTTCAACTGAATTTTTTCAATAAAAGTGAATTTGTGGATCAACAATCCCTCTTCCTAGTTCAGATCTACCCCTTTTTTTCTTTTGCCTTCAAAATTTTTTAATTTATTTAGCACATGATTAAGCAGGTTTTATTTTCTTGTTGGTTTTCTTTCATGGTCCCACAACTGGATCTTATTTGCGAGTTGTAACAGTTTTTCTTACGATGATAACAGAAAATGCATGAAGCGAAATTTTGTTTGATCAATCCATTTATCAAAGTTAGAAGAGATATGAACGGCTGTCCTGCCACGTGAAGGCACATGTATATTCTTGGTGAAGGTCTTGGAATTATTAGGGACTAATTGTTGTATAGTAAGAAGCAAGTCCTGCTTAAGCCCCTAGTCCCTCCATACTTTCCCTCAGATTTTGACTTTTAGCAAGTCAACGTGGAAGACTTCTATTTTTGGTAAAAATAAAAATCAAACTTAATCCTTAATTGACTTAACAATTCATCTCATTAGGGCATGAGTCTTTCCAAACCCAAGAGCAATTTATAACTTGCTTTTGTCCCACAACAGATATTTGGGAAGGAATGACGGAGGCCTTAAATCCAGAATGTTAAAACTTTACTCTGGTTTGTAACTTGGTCAGAACTCCCAGTTCAGGGTCATAGTAAGCTCGTCACCTCATTAGTAGCTCAGTGGATTTTGGTTGGCGAACATGTCCATGCCGCCAGGACTGACACAACACACTCGAATACAACTGCACTTATTTCACAGAATGACAGAATGAGTTTGTAGGTGGTGGAATGCTGAGATTGATGAAGGAATACTTTTTGATTAAGTCTCAGCCAAAATAATCACTTTGGGTTTGTGGATATGTTAGGTGACGTGAGAGTTTATCTCTTTAGAAGAAGAACATATGTGTGGTTGGATTTATAGTTAAGTTTCTGATTCCGAATGTTCCAAGGGGAACATTCAAAGGCACCAGTACAACGTGATGAGAGCCACGGTGCTTTCTCATCCATATGGGATGCACGTTCACAGCATTTTTTTCATAGATGATACACATACACAAGAGCCGTTTTTCCTCAGTGAATCCCTTATATATTTCTTCATTTTTTTTATTTTTATTTTTTTTTGGTACTAGGGATTGAATTTGGGACCTTGTGCTTGTGAGGCAGGAGATGGCACCACTGAGCTAAATCTCAGGCTGTCTTCATTTACTTATTAATCTGTAATGGAACTAAAATACTAAACAACTGGGCAGGAAGATGTAAAGTTGGCTTTTAGTTTAGTATAAAGAAAAAGCAATCATGTTAGCAAATGTTAGCAGTCACACTAGATATCAAAGTGTTCAGTAAATGTGAACTGTATTATGTAAAAAATACTGACTTCAAACTAGTCATTTCAGGTGTCTTAGGTAACATCTTTCAACTTTCCTTGATTCTACTGTGAATCTTCCTTTATCATATTAAAATCATAGTGAGCAATTACTTTCTCCTTTTTGAAGAAAATTCTGAAGCTCACATAACCTTAACTTCTTTGAAAGATAATTCCTTTGAGGAACTAAACATAGGAAATGACTTTATTGTTTTAGCAGTGTTCTCAGTAAATAAGCGCAGACACTTTCCTTTTGACTTGCTGGCTTGTTCAGACTCCAGAGTGTGTTAATTTTGGATCTTGAGCATCTTACATACTAAGAAAGATTAATTTTCATTTAGCCAGTCAAGTGACAACTTCCCTGTAAAACAAACATTTGTAATTAGGGCAGGGATTTGGTTATAAAATCCTTGCAAATATACCCCCAAAATTTCCAATAAAATTTTTCCAATAAAATCATTCTAGATCAAACAAATCTCCATTTGCACAAAAAGTGCTTCTTCAAGTAACTTACTTAATATGCCTTAGATTTAATACCACCTTGGCTAAGTGCTTGAATTCTGATATCACAGGGAGTGGATTGAAGTAGTTAGGTTTTAATGTCTACACATTTTTCAACATTGAATAAAGTTACCTACATTATATGAGATGATTATATAAAATTTCCTTTTTGTACATTTAAGCTTTAGTTTCAAACTGCTATACAATTTGTTTTCTAAATAATATATTTCTTCCTTGAATAATATAGTTCAAAGTTGTAACTGGCTTCAACTACTGTCCTGACATGTTCTAGTTGATATGATTATTCTTTGTGTAGGACTTCAAAACAAGGATGTTTGTTAGTTAATTGTTTGTTCAAGATAAGAGCTTTGTGTTAAGTGAGAAAGTAAAATTGATTACCTAACCCTGACTGATAATCAATAAAGATGTAGCTATTAAATAATTCTTGTATGCATATTTATACAGTAATTAAAACATTTTCTCTACAATCATATTATCATGGAGCCCAGTATGTTGCTCTTAAAAGAAGTTATCTAATTTTAAATTATACTTTTTATGTAATGCAATTGTCAAAATGATAAAGTTTTAAGGAATATATTAGAATTGTTTTCAATCTATGATTCTTATGTAGCCACAGAGCTAATATTGACATGAAAGAATTCTAAAATTTTTATGAGACTTTGCTTAGTGAGGAAAAGATAACATATAAAAAAAGGAAAAAGTAAATGTAACATAAAGGTAAAATGATGCTGCCTTTAGAGAAAGAAATCATAGGAAATAAAATGTGAATTCTTAACTAGTATAATGAACTCAAACAGACGGAAAAGGGAATAAAATTGTGGATAATCTGCACTCTGTGTCTTACACTTGGGAAAGGAATAAAATACATGAAGTTCTGTATGTTTTCTAATGAGTTTTTATGACTTAAATAGTAGATTATTTTTAGAAAGCTGACTTACAATAAACCTCGTTTGCCAAAAAAGTATTGAGTCACTTAATTACAATGCTTATGCTTCTTTTCTATTTTATTCTTTTAGAGACTCTAAAATATATGACTTTAGTAAGTAGGTAGGACAGTATGGAGGTAGATAGACAGGGAGATCTACACATAGTGTAAAAACTAAAAATTCTATTGAAAGCAAGTACTTTGCAAATTTAATTTTCTTCCCACAAAATACTGTGAATTTATTATGTTTTATAAATTTACTTTCAAGCTTTTGTTGAAAAACAATTTTCCACTGAGTATATTTAACCTACAGCTTAAAGTTCTTTAATATATAAAATATTTAGCTTGTACCAAGGAAAAATAAGCACATTTTATCCACTAACCTCAAATTAGTAATAACATACAGAAGTACATGATTCTGATTATGGGCTGAAATAGAGTAGGTTTTGATTAGCCGTGGGCTGTGAGACTTCTCCCTAGGGGCTGTGTTGACATAAGGTGGCAGTGTGTAGCAATCTTACCTTTCTCCTCAGGAATGTCTGTGCCCCTCCAGACTCAGGTCCCTTATTTTTTTATCCTCATTGAGTTTATTGGTACATTTTAGGTATACTGCACAGTTCCATTCAACATTGGGATCTTGCACCTCTACATGACAGATCTTGGTTTTCCCCTTGTCCCTGCCCTCCCTTCCCCCCTCTTCCCTCCCCCTTTACAAACACTTCATTTCCATTTCTTCATTTTCTCATATTTTTTCTTTTCCCTTATTAGCTTTCCCCTATGCTTCCCACCGTCCCTTCACTCTTAGCCCTTTCCTTCCTATTTCACATTAGATTTATTCATAGGAAAATGGATACATTTTGAGGACATACTCCTAAGTGAAATAAATAAGTCACACATGTGTAAATACTGAATAGTTTCTCTGGTGTGAATAAACTATAATAGTACATAAGATCCTAATGAGATAATTGACAAAGTGAAATAGATCCCTTATTTTGATAACCATTACTTCTGGGCTCCTCTGTAGGCATCCAGAGCACAGTGCAGTGCAGCACCCCGGGTCCTTTCAGCTGTGCACTGCCTGTGTGCTGCCTGGCATGTTTCCTAGGGTGGCCCAAAGGCCGAGAGTTTTGGAAGGCTTTGACTGCAACACTGGAAATTTCAGAGAATACTGAAACAAGAAGGCGAAAGCCCACTACTTTTTCTCTGAAGGGCCAACAAACATTTTCTTCTGTCTCTGTTTATTGAGATATTCAAAAGTCACTGCCATTTGTTAGATCATTATTATAATACTAAGTGATGGGGGCTTTGTTGATTCTCCTCAGTGCAGAAATCCATTGTCTGTTTTTGACTTCACTGCAGAGTTAAACCTATTTTTGTTTGCTCATTTTAATCTGTCTTCAGTATGGACCGAACTGGTAGTTTAAATCTGTTCACATGTTTTTAACTGCCCCCACCTTCCATTATGTCCCTCATGAGGAATGGCACTAATAGGAACCCTTTTCCTCAGAGCTATTTTGTTTTTCTTTTAGGAAGAGAAGTTTTTAGTTAACCATTACTACAGTTTTCAGTCCATGGATAGTTAAGTACTCTACTGTTACCATTAAAATCCTACTGCCTACCCTGAAATACATACCTACTCTCTGTCTGGGGGTAAAGTGTTATTCTTTGACCTCTACTGCTCCTAAAATTAAAGTAATCAAGAATATATTTCACTTTAGCTTTTCATTTTATTTTCAATTATGAAGAACAGAAGCAATGGAAATTGCAGAGTCATCCATTTTGCTTTTCGTTGCTGTGATGCATTGTCTTCTGGGCCTTTACTAAAAATGTAATCAGTGGACGATTGACAAGTCTTAAACAATAAATCCACTTTAACATTACTATATCAAAAGGCCACTGAATTCTTTCTACATTAAAATAAGGAATTCTCCATTCTGCACTTAACTTCCTTTGGGTCACCTTAAGAGTTTTGTTACTAA